TATATATATATATATATATATATATATATATATATATATATATACAGGGTGTCCCAAAAATTTTGACACAGCGGCCGTATGCCGGTAGAGCAGACCAAACTGAACCGAAAAGTCCTCTACCATTTTACAATTTTTACAAGGGTTAAAGAGATATTAATTATTAAAGATTACTGAATGCGAACGCACGGCTGAGATACGACCGCCTACAGACTACGGTCGCTAGGCGCGCGGCGTGCGGTAAGCGGCGAGCGACAAGCGGCGAGCGGGGAGCGGCGAGCGGGGAGCGGGGAGCGGCGAGTTTACAGGGTATATACAGGGTATATACAGGGTGTCCTAAAGTTCGCGGCCCAACCATCGTGTACAGATAGAGAGGGTCAAACTGAATAAGTAAGTCCTTTACTACTTTGCAAAATTTTCAATAATTAATTAGAAAATAATTAATAAAGATCCGCCAATCCGCGCAAGTATTCCCCGAGCGTCGAGCGCGCGGCGAGTAGGACCCACTCAGCATAGCATAATACACTCTATGTCACGCGCCGCTCGTGTGTAGTGTGCATAGCTAGCCAAGAGAACGTAAGTCCCTCCCACCGCTCTGCCGCGCTTTGTATTATGCTATGCTGGGTGGGTCCTACTCGCCGCGCGCTTGGCGCTCGGGGAATACTTGCGCGGATTGGCGGATCTTTATTAATTATTTTCTAATTAATTATTGAAAATTTCGCAAAGTGGTAAAAGACTTACTTATTTAGTTTGACCCGCTCTATCTGTACACGACGGTTGGGCCGCGAACTTTGAGACACCCTGTATATATATACAGGGTGTTTTATAATGTCCGTGCCAACGCTCGTGTACGGATAGAGTGCGGTAAACTAAGCAATGGTGAAATAATTATTTTAAAGCGGCGCAAAATAGAAGCGAAAGTGACGTGAAAATAAATGCAAGATATCGGCAAAGGCAAAATAATTATTTAAGCAATGGTGAAATAATTATTTTAAAGCGGCGCAAAATAGAAGCGAAAGCAACGTGAAAATAAATGCAAGATATCGGCAAAATGAAATAACTATTCGAGCGGCGGTGAAATAATTATTTAAGGCGGCGTAAACTAAATGCGAAGTATACGTGAAAATAAATGCGAAGTATCGCAATAATGAAATAATTATTTGAGGCGACGGTGGAATAATTATTTAGTATGACGTAAGGCGTCCTGGTGCGGTCGGCGAGAGCGCAAGCGCGGGCGATCGTGTCGCAACGGTTGGTACAAGACGGAGCGCTTGTCGGTGAGTGCGTTCGTAGTATCGCGAGTCTGTTCGATCGTAGATCGATGCGGACTATTCGGCGGCGCGGATTGGTCGACGCGGCGTTGCTTGCCGGACGGATTACAATTATGAAATCCCGGCGAATAAACGCGGTATGCGGACTTAGGCTGCCGATTACGTTCGGCGGGAGTACAAGGATGCTCGTACGAAGACGGAATTTAGAACAGCGACCTGGCTAGGTATGCGGAAATGCCCGCAATACAGAGTTCGGTGGCCTAGAGGAACCAAGTACGCTTGGCGGGTATACGAATATATTCGTATCCTGGAATCAAAGAATACCGAGGACGCTCGGCGGTACACGAGGATACTCGTGTGCTGGCACAGGTATAGAGTCC